GTCTGGTCCAATCACATACTGTATTTGCCTACATTCAAGTTTCGTATTTCTACGTTTTGATAAACCTTCACACTAGATTTTCCTCTGTGCTGCAGATAAAAATTTTCCTCAACAGTGTCTGAAAAGGGAGGCCTGCCACCACTACCAAACTACTCTACCTGAGATTAGATTATTAGATAGTGCCTAACCTGAAATAAAAATATGCTGATACAACATTCTGTAAAAAAAGCTCTACTATGTTATAAGAGAGCTCATACTATATTATGGTTTCAAAGGTAATAAGAAAACGTATCATCAGATCATCACTATGGTAGCTATTTAAGGGACTTTAATAAAAATTTGACAGTTATCATGAAACACTGGCCACCTCAATTTTAAACAGTAAGCACAAGAATTACTCCCATAAAAATTATAAGCATAACAGGACACTTTTTGGCTACTATTCAATACTGACTTGGATGTTCTAGGTAACACAAGATATGATATATATGTGAATATCTATACATATATATTTATAGATATCAGTGTATATATACAGTATATATGTGATTTTAGAAAGGAGGATAAATATATGTTACATGATAAAACTTACAGTCAATATAATTTTACGCTTGTAAAATCCCAGAGAACAAATATAGACCTAAAAAAGAGTTCAATAAAATGATTAGTTTAAAAAATAAGTATAAAGATTGTAACTTTCCCACATACCTTCAAAGTGTGGAAATCCCACTAAGCAAAAAGTGGTATTTCTACCAAATATAGATAAAAGAAAATGCATATTTAAATGCATATTTAAATGCATATTTAAATGTCTCTTATCCTCCATCAAAAATGTCTCTTATCCTCCATCAAAAATGTCTCTTATCCTCCATCAAAAACAACAAAAAGTACAGCAGACAAAAAAATAAAGTCACATCTTTGATGAAACTCTGTAAAACATTTGAACCTCAACCATGATGTACATGAAGATAAGCTACTAAGTGCCATGAAGATTGGACCAAGATATGAAAATGCTAGGAGAGGATGCCTTTCACTGGAGATCTTGGAAAGGGCTGGTAGATTGGTGTTTTCTAGAGTAGTGATTCTCACTGAGATGCAAAACCAATGACTCCTAGTTTTGGAACAAAAAGATCTAGGTACAAAGGCTAAAGGCAGGACTCTCTCATAATCCTATTTGTCAACACAAAATAGGAGAGAAGGCAGGACTAAATCTGATAGTGAGCAGATGCACCATTATTTCAAGATTGAACCTAAGGATGTGGCAAGGTAAGGGGAAAAGTCGGGATGACAAGTTGCCCTGCAGCCGCCAGTTTTCATCAGTTGAAGATATATTAAAACTATGGCACACATAAGCCATTCCATCAAACAGTAAATATGGCTATACTGCAAGCAGTAAAAAAGTGAACAGCCTCTGCTTCCATACAGTCAAGAACAAAAAGAAACACGTGACAAGGTTGAGGAAAAAAAGTGGAAAAGAATAAAGAATTTAAAAGAATTGGAGGGAAAGCTATAGCTTTGGAATACAGAAAAAGGAGGTACAACATGCTACTAATAGATGTCTTCAAAGAGACCAAATACATGGATAAGGGGGAAAAAATCCAAAGACATCATTCAAGAAAAAATTTTGAGATACAAATAAACTTCAGACTTTACTTCCAGTAGTGGAAGTCTAGTTTGTCTTTAGCCAATGGCATATCAAGGATAACAGGTGGGCCATAAGAACGGTTGTTGGACTGCAGTTTTGGACTCTATTACTACATGTGTAGTATTTAGGATAACAGAGCTAGGTCTTCTCATGTCAGCACTTATTTGACCAATGGGAGTATGATTTTAAGTTTGTAGGGTCACATTTTGAAGGTGAAATACAAAAAAAAAAAATTATAGAAAGATAAATTTTTGATCAGATGCAGTATCTCACATCTACTGCAGCAATTTGGGAGGCTAAGGTGAAAGGATCATTTGAGCCCAGGAGTTTGAAACCAGCTGGGCAACATAGTGAGACCTTATCTCTACAAAAAGTAAAAAAAAAATTAGCTGGGCATGGGGGTGCTTGGCCTAGGTGTTCAAGATCAGCCTGGGCAACATAGTGGGACTCTGTCTTTACAAAATATTTTTAAAAATTAGTTGGATGTGGCAGTGTGTGCCTGTAATCCTGGCTACTTGGGAAGCTGTGGTGGGAGGATCACCTGAGCCCAGAGAAGTAGGGGCTGCAGTGAGCCATCTTCACACCAGTGCACTCCAGCCTGGACGATGAAGTGAGATTCTGCCTCAAAAAAAGGACAAAATGAAATATCAGCAATGAAAAGTCCTGCTAAAGAGAAGTTTTGTTAATTCATAATTTTAATGTTTATCTGGTCATTTTATCCAAAAGGCAAAAATCTTTAGCCTCCCTTATCTTTGGGATATCCTTCTCTCTTAAATGTTGCTTTCTCACAAATCCCAGTTTACTTGAATAAGAATGTAATGTTATGCCAAAAGTTAAGGAGGCATATGGTGGGACAAATCCTACTGGGTGGATGCTTTCTTCATTCTTTCCACAAATGAAATCTTCTGAAAATAGACATCAGTGGCAGTTTAAATAGAGAAATGGAAAAAGGGAAGCCAAAAATCTGAGAAGCGTGTGAAGGAGGAGTTTCTGTGAAGATTTCCCATGCTGTTCTCTGTATGCATTTTTCCTTTTTCCTCATGCCCTAATGTATATCCACACATACTATCCCTCTAGATGCTGCTCAGAACTTCTAAACCTGGTATAATTGGAGGCTTGGCTGCAGACCTAAAAGTAAAGGGCCTAAAAGTTGGGTACATCTTTACAGTTGTATTTCATTTGTTTAAGGCAGAAAGAATAAACTTTCATTCCAAAGCAGTTAGCTTGCTTAGCAGCATTAATTTAAAATGAAGAAATGTAAATCCTAATCTCTGGCACTGAAGCAGAAAATTAGTTTTGGTTTTGAAATTTGGTGAAGAATAAGTTCAATTTTTATGGGCTGTTTTGCATCTTGGTGAGATCTAATGAGGTCTGTACTTTTGACTCTACCTAATAGGCTGACATCTTTCCTCCTTTAATTTTATCTGAGACTTGGTGTCAATGATTTTTTTGATTTCTTAATTCAAAAAGGTAAACTAGCCAGGGGGTATTTACTATTTACATTGCCTTATATCACAGTGTGCCCTTTCTAGTTCCCTGGAAGAGATAAGGAATGGGTTTGTGTGTTCAGGGAGGTAACTGGTTTTTAGTGGAACACTGGAGTTATCAATCCCACTCTTAATGTTAAAAAGAGAATCCCAGAGCTACCCCTCTCCCCACCATTTTAATCAGCAATTTTTAAATTTTTTTTTTTTTTTTTTTTGAGACGGAGTCTTTGCCCTGTCACCCCCCACGGCTACGACCGCTGCAGTGGTCCGATCTCAGCTCTCGCACAGCTCCTTCCTCTGGGTTCAGCCATTCTCTACTGCTCAGCGCTCCCGAGTAAGCCTGGACTACAGGCTACCCGCCATGCTCGCCCGGCTTAGTTTTTTGTCATTTTTAGAGAGAGGATGGGTTTCACCGTGCTTAACGCCAGGATGGTCTCGGATCTCCGTGACCGATCGTCTCGCACCCGTCTGCGGCCTCCCAAAGTTGCTGGGATTTATCAGGCTTGGCCACCGCGCCGCTAGAAATATGCAGCGCTGATGCCAAGCGAGGTGGTGCGGGCTCGCGTGCCAGTAATCCCACACTGTTACGGAGGCCGACGCTGGCCGGATCACTCTGAGTTCAGGAGTTGGACACCAGCTTGATCACACATGGCCTGAAACCCCAGTCGTTAATAAAAAACAAATAGCCAACGTGGGTGGTGCGCGCCTACATAATCTACTTACTTGGGGCTGAGGGAAAGGAGAAATCGCTTCGAACCTGGGAGGGGAGCTTTGCAGGGAGCGAGATCGCGCCACCTGCACTCCACAGCCCTGGGTGACAGCAGCGCAGACCCATGTCCCTCCAAAAAACAAAAAAAAAGAAAATGTTAAAAAAAAATGCAGAGTGAGTGCATTGGCTCATGTCTGTAATCCTAGCACTTTAGGAGGCTGAGCTGAGATGGAAGGATCGCTTGAGCACAGGAGTTTGAGACCAGACTGGACAACAAAGCAATACTCCCATCTCGGAAGGAAGGAAGGAAGGAGGGAAGGAAGGCAGGAAGGAAGGAAGGAAGGCAGGCAGGCAAGAAAGAGGGAGGGAGGGAGGGAGGGAGGGAGGGAGGGAAAAAAATTTGAAACATACACAAAAGTTGAGAGAATTGTGTAATTGACCCCAATGTACCATCACCCAGCTTCAATAATTATCGATACTTTTAGGCAGGTTTCTACCAGAAAATATGTCCTGGAAACTTTAATTCTTGATCTGTGTTCAGGTTTTGCCTTCCAAATTTTTCATTATTGGGGCTTTGAACATATTGCAATTGTATTAAGAGAAGGATTTGAATGAGGAATTTAGTGCTTAAGAGTCAATAGTCAGTGAGTCTCCTTTTGGCTTGCCTCCTTCTTAGGGAAAGGAACTGGCTGTAGGATGTTAGGCAGAATTTGGGTGTATCAGTTGTGGCTCGGAGATGTTTCTCACAGAACTGATCACTGTCCCAATATCCATGCAGAAGACCAAATTAAAAGCGAGGAGAAATACCTAATGTAAGTGACGAGTTAATGGGTGCAGCACACCAACATGGCACACGTATACATATATAACAAACCTGCACGTTGTGCACATGTACCCTAGAACTTAAAGTATAATAATAATAAAAAAAAGCGAGGCTGGAGAAAGGATGGGTATCTAGCCTATTCTTATCCCGCCTCATGGTGTTTTCTAAATATTTACAGAAAGAAAGTGTACAGAGTAGTTTCCTGGTCAAACTCTGATGAGTATCTTAGTACTTTTCCCTCCCCTTCTTCTCACGTCCTCTTTGGGGACGGGTCGTCAAGTCTTTGAGTTTCTAGTTATTGGTATTGACTGGTTTATAACCTCCTCTTTCACCCAGATCGTCAAGGACCGTTTGCAAAGCACTCCCAAATAGAGCCTCTTGGAGAAGGAGAAACTGCTCTCACGCAAAACAGCCTTGAGCTCGCTGACTCCGCCGCCTCGAAAAACCAGAGTCCGGAGGCAGTTTGATGCAGACACTATTCCCCAACCTTCCCCTCCTTGTCGTCTCTATTGCACTCTTGGCGGCTCCTGCGATACAAGAGGGTGCAGGACAGACTTCAACCCGCAGCAGGACCCAGCGCGGAAAGCTCCGCAGCAGGATCCAACGCAGAAAGCCCCGCAGCACTTGTTTTGGGGGGCTCCTGTTTCCTTAAGCCTAGAAGGTGTGGTCGCTCACGTTCACGGTTCCGCCTCTCGCCCGGCAGCTCCACGCGGAGTCCCGCCCTCTCCGCGGGAGAGGTGCGCAGGGATCAGAGCGTCCAGCTCCGACGCGCGGCTCCCAAAGGGTGGCAGGAGGAGCCCAGCGGGGCTCAGCCTCAGTTACCAGCAGTCTGCAGGCAGAGGTTGTGGAGATTAAGATCCAGGCAGCCTCAGGGCGTTGTCCTAGAAATCACCGTTTAAGCAGAGACGAGTTAGTGTCTCGGGGCGTCTCCCAGGCTCCGCCCTGCGCCCGCGGCCAGCGCTGTGGGCGAGACCCCAGCCGGCTGCTACTGGAGACGTGGGCACCTCTCGCGCCTGGGCGGGCAGCCTCGTCTCTGCACCCCTAGGCGGCGCTGCGCTCCTCAACACTCGGCCGGTTCCGCTTTCCCAGACGGCTACCCAGCCTCCAGCCTAGCAAGCCCTGCTCCCAGCTGGCCAGCCCCGGCAATGCCGGCGTTCGGCAACGGCAACGTCGGCGGTCGCTGAGTGTCTAGCCCGCAGCAGTGACGGCCGGCAGGAGCGTGCTCTTCCCCGCGGCTCGTGCTCTCCAGGAGTCCGGAGCATGGTCCTGGGTCACTGTTGGTATAGCGTGTTGGTGGAACGTGGACGCCCAGAGGGAGGATGGTGGGCTGGGGGGTGGCAGTTCTATGTTTGTGGGTTTCCTGCGGCGCTGCCGCGGGACAGCTCGAGTACTCAGTGCCGGAGGAGACGGAGCGGGGCGTAGCTGTAGGCAATGTCGCCGCGGACTTGAGGCTGCCAGCGGCCGCTCTGTCCTCGCGGAACTTTCGCTTCCTTTCCAGCCACCGCGAGCTCTACTTCAGGGTGGACCTAGCCAGCGGCAACTTGGTGGTCAGAGAACCGGCGGACCGCGAGCGGCTGTGCAGGGGCAAAGCTGCCTGCGTCTTGACCTACGACGTGGTGCTCGAGGACCCGCTGGAGCTGCACAAGATTCGGGTTCACGTCCTGGACACCAATGACAACTCACCTCTCTTTCCTGCAGGCGACGTGCAGCTGCACATCCCCGAGTTCCTGACGCCCGGAGCCCGCTTTACTCTCCCGAATGCCCAAGATGACGACGAGGGAAGCAATGGAATACTAAGCTACAGCCTAAGCCCCAGTCAGCACTTTCGCCTGGACATGGGATCGCGGGTTGACGGCAGCGAATACCCGGAGTTGGTGTTGGAGAAAGCACTGGATCGCGAACAGCGCGCCACCCACCTGCTGGTGCTTACAGCTCGGGACGGCGGGCTACCTGCCCGCTCAGGAGACGCCCAAGTCACCATCATAGTGGTGGACACAAATGACAACGCGCCTGTATTTGAGCGCTCCGTATACCGCACCAAGGTTCCAGAGACTGCACCCAATGGGACTGTGTTATTCCGAGTTCAAGCCTTGGATCCAGATGAAGGGTCCAATGGGGAAGTCCGATACTCCCTAAGCAATAGCACGCAAGCAGAGTTGCGACACCGCTTTCATGTGCACCCTAAAAGTGGAGAGGTGCAAGTAGCTGCTTCACTAGGTCCGCCGGAAACGCTCTTGGAGGCATACATTGAGGCGAGGGACGAAGGTGTCTTTGGTTTAGCTAGCACCGCTAAACTGCTGGTGGAGGTGACTGACGTGAACGATCATGCCCCCGAACTAGACTTCATGACTCTTTGGAACCCAGTACCGGAGGACGCTGCTCCTGGCACAGTGATTGCTCTCTTTAATGTAAAGGATGAAGACCTCGGTTCTAATGGTAGGGTCATTTGTGGCATGTCTAGTGGAGGCCCTTTTCAGCTGACGGCTTCCTTTGACAACTACTACAGCCTGCTGATTGATGGGCCCCTGGACCGGGAACAGATCAGTGAATACCAAGTCCTGATTACGGCCTCAGATAGTGGCTCACCCCCACTTAGCACCCGAAGGACAATCACTGTGTCAGTTGCTGATGTGAATGACAATACACCAAGCTTTCCTCAACCGCAGCAGGAACTTTTCGTTGCTGAAAACAATGGCCCTGGGGCCTCTCTAGGCCAAGTGTTTGCCCAGGACCCTGACCTGGGGAACAATGGCCTTGTCTCTTATGAGCTGTTGGATGTTATCTCTGAAGGGCCACCAGCCTCTAGCTTGGTGGCAGTGGAATCATCCAGTGGGGCTATCACTGCCAAAACTTCCTTTGACTTTGAGCAGCTCAGGGGGTTTCACTTCCAAGTAGAAGGCCGGGACAGTGGCATTCCTCCCAGAAGTGCAACAGTGACTATAAACTTGTTTGTGGTAGATAGGAATGATAATTATCCAGTTATCTTGTTTCCCTTGCCCAGAAATGGTTCTGTCCCTGTGGAAATTGTGCCCCGCTCTGCCAGGACTGGACACTTGGTCACAAAAGTAGTAGCAAAGGATGCAGACAGTGGTTCTAATGCCTGGCTTTCCTACCACATCTCCCGGGCATCTGACTCTAGTCTTTTTAGAATTTCAGCCAATATAGGTGAACTCCGTACTGCTCGTTTAGTTCTTCCCACTGATGCAGTTAAGCAGAGCGTGGTGGTAGTGGTTCGGGACCATGGAGACCCACCACTTTCCTCCTCTGTCACTCTGGGTGTGCTGTTGAGTAACTCTGTTCCTCAGTTACTTCCAGACTTTGAAGATGTCTGGGAACCAGGAGGGCAGCTTTCTGCCCACAACTTGTATTTAGTAATTGCCTTGGCTTGTATTTCCTTTTTATTTCTGGGGTGCTTACTTTTCTTCGTGTGTACCAAGTTGCACCAGAGCCCAGGTTGTTGCCCTCAGAGCTGCTGTTGCTCTACAGAGGATCTGAGGTATGGAAGGAAGACGGTTTCAAATCCTTACATGACATCAGCCACTGTAGATGTCACTACAGTTGAGAGACTTGCTCAGACTTATCTGTATCGGGCCTCTCTGGGACTTGGTTCTGATAATAACAGTTTGCTGTTGCGTGGGGAGTACAATGCTGCTGACCTGCGAAATCTTGCCACTGGGGTAGGACTGAATTTGCCAATATCCTGTATTCAGATTCGGAATAGGAAAGGGGATCACGCTAATGTCAATGCCATGGTAAGCAAATTTTATGGAATTTGATTCCTTTTACCAGGAGATGGCTGCTAGCTGTGTTCTGAAATATTTGTTAGACAAGCCTTTCACAACATTTCATCAATTGAATTAAACACTCCTTCTTAGCACTTCCTGTGCCAAGAAATCTGAAAGTATAGAAGTATTAGAAGATTGCCCTAGGCCTCAAGGGACTTATAGTTTATTTCTGAGAAACAAGGGTAAAAATTAAAACCTATTTAAGAACAATAAAAGTAATATGGCATGAAGGTCTAAAATTAAAAATAAAGTACCAAAATATTTTATAAGCAACAGATATGTAAGGCACTCTAATATTTAAACTGAAGAATGAAAAATATGTAAGAGTCTGCTTAATATGAATATAATATGAAAGGTGAGACATTTACTTAAACTATTGCAATGCATTATTAAAAGATGACAATAACCACAAAAGATGTAAAAATAAATTATAATGAGGGTTAAAAGAAGGGAGAAAGGGAACATAAGAGAACATCTGAGTGGGGAGGAAGAAGTCAGAGAAGGCTTTGTGATAGAGATCACAGATTTAGTTGGATCTTTAATATGATACACCATTTAATAAAAAACAGTGTATTCTCTAGCCTATACTTTTCATGAATACCATTTTGGTGAAGGTGTCTTCTTTGGGAATGCACCCTAAAACATAGCTAATAGCTCCATAGCAGTGTTTTGTAAGTACACAGAAATTGTAAGCCTGTCTCATAACATCTATTTATACTGATAGGAGATCATATTGTTGGATATAGAACTTGACAACCTTTTGTTTTGTGTTTCTATTGATAATATTTTACAAAGAGGAAAGATGAGTTATTTTTATGTCAGAAATATTTATGTGTTCAAAGGTGCACTTACCATCCAAAGTCCATTCAACTTGAATTTAATTTCTTTTATTTTAGAGGACAAATACATTTAACAAGTAAGTAAATATCATATTTGAGAGTAATGTATCTAATAAAAGTTAAGTGATTCAAATACTTCAATTTATCTGTTAGTGGCCCTTGGCATTTCAAAACTTTTTTTTTTTTTTGAGACAGGGGTCTCACTATGCTGCCTAGGCTGGTCTCAAACTCCTAGCCTCAAGTGATCCTCCCACCTAGGCCTCTCAAAGTGCTGGAGTTATAGGCATGAGCCACTGCAGCTGGCCCTCAAACTTCTTGAGTGCTGTTAGGATAACATTTTGAAGCAATTCTACATTATTACTTTTTGACTTCTCATAGAAATCCTAGATGCAAAAGAAGGAGGTGTGTGGAAATTAAGGGAGGAAAATGAAGCATTCCTTGTTTTACTACTCTGGGCAATAAGGGGAAAAGTGGCTTGTAAGTTATTTTTCCTCAAGTAATGATGGCAGCTGCAAATAAAATAAATTTACATATGTTAAAATTTTCCATACTTAATATTTTCACGATATAATAGAATCCAGCATATAAAATATGCTTAGTAAATGCTGACTGACTGAATAAATATGTGCGTATATGAATTGGATGGTAACACTGTTCAACACAGAGGGAAAAACTTTAACTTACTTTTCTACTTTAGATGTGTATATGTGGTTAATAGTTTAAAGGTCACTTTCAAATGTACTGTTTCAATGATTATTTTCTTCCTCATGACATACACTAATAACATAACAGAGGAATTTTCCGTTTCTAGAGCTAGCATGAAAAACTTCAATGCCGTGTCTAGGACTAAGTATGAGTCCAGTTCTATAGATGACAAAGGAATTAATAGGTGTGCACATCATTACATTGTGAAATTTGCAGTGGATACTATTTAATAGAATCTCAGTTAATTTTAGGGAAGAAAATTGGTGCGCTACAATGCTAATATTTCAGGTATCAGAGCACTTAATATGTGAACATTTTTTCTACCAAGAAATTTCACTATTTATTTCTTTTATTTCATTGCTTTCTGTAACAAAAAGAGATGAGAATACCGGTAATGGCTATAAAGTTTGGGAGTGAGGAATTTTTTTTAGAAACACATTTTCACTAGACTAGAAAGGAAATATAAGTAAGTGATAGGAAGGCCGATTAATCTAGAAGTTAGAAGGAAAATTAGCGATTTAAAAGGAAAAGTATAGGAAATAACAGAGGAAAAAAAACTTTCAAACCAAATTTTTAAACTTATATGATTAACAAAATAATAGAGATATACTGTTCATATGTGCCGGAATATTGTACCATCCCATTCATTCAGTTGAACAATCTTTTTCCATCATTGTTGATATTTTGCTTTTTAGGTAGCTCATTGGTCTGCTAATAATTGTTGTGGGTTTGATATTTCCTTCTAAATAAATGAAGTATGATTCATAAAAACATGAATAAAATAACTTCTATAAATATGGGGTATTTGTAATTCACAAAGGCATTTGTTATTTACTTCTT